GACATCACTGACCAGAAGAATTTAAATTATGTGAATTGAAAGAGATGACTAGTACTTGGTATAGTAAGAAAGATAAATATCAGTAACTGAAACGACTGGAAAAATTACAGGTATCACATGTAATTCTCAAAATTTTTTGAGACTATCAGAAAAAAATTTCATTCATCTGAAATCCTCCTCTGTTATAAAACATATATTCAAGCTACTTTCCTGATTTACTTGAAATTACTAAAAATACTACAGGTGTAGCCATGACACTGCACAAATCCTTTATCACAATAATATCTTTCTTCCATTTTTCTATCAAGATTATGACTAGGGAGAAGAATCTTAAAAGTCAAAGATGGTCCTGGCACACTCCATTTTTCTATCAAGATTATGACTAGGGGGAAGAATATTGAAAGTCAAAGATGGTCCTGGACATTTAACTCTTTCATGAACTATTTAAGTTCAAACACTCCCTAATGAGTTTAAAAGTAAGTTATCTGAAGGCAGTGATAACAGGGTGAAATTCAGAACAATCCTTACAAAGAACAGCTGCCAGAACTCATACACAGAACTCAAACAGCTGCCAGAACTCACACACAAAATTGTCAAACTACCTGGCATAACAAAAGAAGGACCATGCTCCAACATCACCTTTCTGAAAACATCAGAGGGCAATTCCCTGCTCAGAGGACTCCACAGCAAGTGCTGCAGCTAAACTTACTATCCTGTGGCATTATTTTCACCACTGTGAGCATCAAAGAGGATTAATCTTGCCAAAGCACAGGAACAAAAAAATCACGTTTGGGTTTGGAGGAATATCTTACCATTATTCTATTCCCATATACTCCCAAAACTATGAATTGCCTGGCCCTAAATTTACTGAAATCCTGATCATATCTGATTTAAATTGACATGCAATTTGAGTTAAATTTATTTTATGCACTTTCAAGGGAGATTTTTTGTTTCTGTTTATTTAAACTGCTGTTGAAATTGGTTAATTAAAAGGATTTAAAAAATCTTAATACTCTAAACAGAGCAAACTGGTTCTGAATTATTAAGCAACATTTTAGATGCATTTAAATAACCTTAAGTGACTTAACTGCCACCTGATCCTAAGCTGTGGCTCAGAAAAATAAAATGTGAAATACTGTAGAAGTCTTGGCTTACCAAGGCTTCCAGATACAGTAAATAAAGAGCTTAAGTCTCTAATACCATGTCTGCAGAAGGCATACTCTCAAATACATAACTAATGCTCCACCTCAAGGAGAAATCAGCAGCAGTAATTATAGCTTGAAATTTTGATTTTTCATGAGAAATTAATAAATTGAGTCTTTCAAATATAGCATTTAGAAGGAGGAATCATGCCTGGCCCTCCCTTTCTGACAGACACCATAGAACATTCAAACATATCAACCCTAGAAGGATGGCTGAAGCTCATCTTGGGTAAATTTCTGAACATTCCTCTTCTAGTTTCAGCTAGACCTGGTCCACTTCAGCTTCTTGCCTAAGTGGGGTAAAATGCTCACTCTGTAAGATGTTAACAGTTTTAGGAAGGCTTCTGCACATCACCAGCACTGAAGAAATGGGAGGAACTGAGTGTCTGGAGGTCTCCAAGGCACTGGGAGAAGGAGGATCCTGCAGCTGGGAGGTCAAGAGGACTACCAAAGTCAGAGTTTGTATTTAAACTATACATAATACTTTTAAAAAAAATATGTTTGAAAGTATCAGACTTACTTTGCTGGAGTTTTGCTGCAATAAGTCAGAATTTGGGAAAGCTGTTAAGAGAAAGGGAGCTAAATCCTGAACCAAAGTCAGAATTTGGGAAGGCTGTTAGGAGAAAGGGAGCTAAATACTGAACCAAAGTCAGAGTTTTGGAAGGCTTTTAAGAGAGAGGGACCAAAATACTGAACTAGAAGGTTGACTGAGCACACTAACATACACTGAGTAAGCTCTTTTTGTTTTCTGGAAGACAGGGAACTGAACTCTGAAATCAGCACACACATTTAACAGCACACACATTTGCTCCCACGAAGACTTTGCAGGTGTATTTCAGAATACAAGAAATACACTCTTTGCATTAAAATTTCTTTGCCAAGAAATACAATACAGCTTTTCACTCCCAAAATGAGCTTGCCAACGTTTCCAGGCACAAGCTCCCAGCTGCCCCAGGCTCACATTTGTGACACACACGGGTGGTACAAGATGTGGTGCTGAGGTACTAAGAGAGGAGCTGGTTAATATCTCATTTCAGCACAGGTAGAAAGAACAACACAGTCAGTGACAAAGACCCAATAACAAGTCGCTGCATGTGCTTAACTGCTTTGGAATGTCACTGCTGTTTTAAAATCTACAAGTAGTGTCTGGAAAAGGTTAATCTGGGTATTTACTCATGTGTAGAAGTTTGTATTTACAGTAGGGTTATGATACCAACTTTAAGTTAGCTAAGGATATCTGTGTAAGCAACTGGAACACAGGACTAAGAACTAATGAATTTTTATTTATGAAAGATGTAAAAGTACTTCAACGACATTGTATCAGAACTGATGGCTTTGAACTTCAGGTAAAAATGCTCTAACAAGCTTTTCACAAGAAAATGTTGACCTGGTTGAAGATAATCCCCTTGTTTTGATAAGACAGAAACACTTTTGGGGGTGTGTATGTTATTGTAAAGCAGATTAGGATAGAAAAAACTCCACAAACTTTAGAATACATGTTTTCATCTTATTGCAGCAGAACTCCAGAAAAGTAATTCTGATACTTTCAAACATATTTTTTCCAAAATGTTATGTATATTTTAAACACAAACATTTTAAATGCTCCTGTTCTTTGGAGCACAAGCATTCCAAGTGCAGCACAGATTTCCATTCATGCTGCTGACATACCATACAGCAGAAGGGTCTTGATAACTCACAGTGTATTTTCAAGTGACTACAGACCACAAAGCCCAAGGCAATGAATATATACTTTGACTGTACTTCTTCCAAGCCATTCAAGAATGCCTTATTTTTATTTTTTAAAATCTGTCTATGGAGTTGCATGCTTCCAACTTTCCAAACCTGGGGAACATGACAGATGTCATTTACAGTTCTCAGTGGTTAGCAAACCCCTGGGGAATATTTTTCGTCTGTCGTGTCTCTGGTGGTCACAATGGCAATGGGATTCATACATGGCTGAGTCAATCAGCATGAATCATTTATGTGACTCCTCATACATGGCATTATTAGGTTGGAATCGTAGAAAAAAGATGACAGGGTCTTTGCTTCCCACACAGCAGACCAACAGCTCCAGACCCTGCCACTAAATTCTCCTTTCTTTGCCTCAGTCTTTCTCCCTGCCAGTTTCACACATGTAATGACAATACCAGCCTGTTCTAATTTAGTGGTATTTTTTTTCTTTTCTACTCCTTTTAGAACTTGTTCTTATGTGATTCACCTGATAAATTTTAGAGTTTTTTTACAGATGACTAACATTCATAATGACGACAATATGAATAAGTACAGAAACAGCCAGAGTAAAGTAAAAAACAAATGTAAAAAGTTAAGAGCAATATACCTGTAGGGTATTTATATTAAATATGTATTACATCAGAAATAAGTTACAGGTGGGGAGGCATGACTTGCAAAAAATTTTAAATGTACAGCCCCATTGTTTAGACTGCACAAAACTGGTTTCCTTTGTCAAGTACACTGAACCACCAGTAATCCTGAAAATACAGGTGACTTCTAGTCTTTGGTTCCACTGGAAATGGTACTGCATGCTTAAGGAGTAAAGTTAATTAATGATTAATGAGAGTCCTTAAATGGTGCTTTTCAGTCTGACTGATCAGGATTCCCAGTACAGGGCAAGGTGGAAGAAGAGCTGTAAGCACTGCAATCCTGTCCACAGTTGTGCCAAAAATGGGTCAGAAACCACATCCCCTCAAAAAGTTGTATGCTTACTAAGGATGAGCTTCTTCTCCTTTGCAGTACTTACAAATAAGATGATAAAGAAAGAGGTATCTGTTACAAACTACTGCAAACATGTCAATCAGAGCCTCATCCCTAGTGAACTACCCCAGGGGCAATGATGGGAAACAAAATGGGAAAGCAATCCAAATTACTGAACTCCTTTGGTGAGAAATGGTCTAACCAGTCCCCTGGAGATGCCTCCAGCAAACAAGACCCCAGCTGGTCCAGAGCTGCCCCACTCATCTGCAGTGCCCAGGCAGTGTGGCCAAAGAGCTGCTGAACTCCACCAGCACTGCTTGGCTCTGTCCTGACATCTCTGCCATGCCCATTCCCTTCCCCTTTTATCCAGGGCCCCTGCACAGCTGGATCCACTGACTTTCATCTTTGCTGTAGCAATGACTAAATAACAAATAAAAGTTAATTTGTGCAGAACACACAGAGGTGGATTTTCAAAGGAATTTAGGAGCAAGCACAAAAATTATCTGTTGATGTATCAACAGAATTGGCTACTATAAGCAGTGAGCAGTATTGATTCTGAAAATCAGCCACAGCAGGTTCATTATACAATTTAAAGGTAGGAGATGTAATTATCTACTGGTATTATGTAACAGGTGGATCAAATATTTATTAGCATATACTTAATAGTTCATAACTGGGTACTATCTGATGCTGAGCCTTATTCATAACGTCAAGTTGCATCCAAATGGCAAAAGCAGAAAGATCAGAAGTATAACAGACCTAAACAATGAACCACCAGCAGTGCTGATGGAGCTTCTTTCAAAATAGGACATGAGCAAAGCTGGCTCAGCATATTCAAGTTTTCACTGAATATGGTCCACAACTTTTTCTGAAATGTAGCATTTTTTACAATATCACTGGAGGCAGGTTTCACAGCTCTGTATGAAACATCTGACAGCACTGGGCAGCCAGCAGCTGGCTTAGAGCTTGGCAGCACTGGAAGATACCCAGGCACACCTTTTACCTTCTATGCTATAACACCCCAGCCAACCAACCCACAGGAGCAAGAAGCAGAGGTATTTATTCCTGAAAGGTGCATTTACTCACATCTCTCCTCGGAAAGGTGCCCAGCAGCTTGTACTCCTCCCAAGGATACCCCTTGGAAGCTACAAAATCAAAGACAACCTGCAGCTTGCTGCTGGCCAGGAAACGCCGCTCAAAGAATTCTCCGCTGGGCGTCCGGATGCGGAGTTTGCTGACAGACTCAGTGCTCTCCTCCTTCGGCTCGGGGGGCAAGGACTGCTCCAGAGACAGCCTGATGGCCTGGGGAAGGAAAAACAACCATTTTTTCTAATGCTAGCAACAGAAGAAAGGGAGAAAGCTTTTCTGTTTATTTCTTCTAGAACTTCAAGATGTGTCGCAGTGCTCCAGAGTCTTTATATCTCAATGACAAAATAATTTTTACTCACTCCTTAATAACAGCCCACCAGACAACTAATTAAAATAAATCCTTCTTTATAACACATATTATTAGGTCTACAGTAAATGCACGATGGGATACGTAATTTAATCATTTGGCAGAGAGCCTTGGAAAAAAATTGAATGAGAGAATAATTGTCAAGTGGCCAATTGCTTCCTTAAAGGGTATAAATTAAAAGGCAGTAAAAGTATTTCTTTAAAAGCACTTGTCAAATTGTCTTCCTCTTGCAATGATAATTGACCATTTGCAGTAGACTAGACCCTTAATGGCAGTTCAGAGTGAAAAAAAATATATGCAAGAAATTTACTATAAATAAACTGAAACACTGTTAAAAGATGCAATTAAAAATGCCACAAATGTATATTAGATACACAGAGGACATACAGAAGTAGGAATTATCAAACGAAGAAAACTGGAAGAAGAGAAATAGGAGCTTAAAGATTTAAAATTGGTGGTAGTAGTACTAGTAGTACTTACAAGAAGATTGTTCTAAGTACAGGTGAACATATTTTCTGCAATAACCTGCATGAAATCATCCCTCAAATTGCAATGACACTACATGGCAGTCATATGGGTATGACTGTCTTCCTGCCAACACTGCTGATGTCAAGACTTTAAGGGCAGGACTGAGGTCTGTGCTCTCTGTCCTCTGTCTCTGTGAGCTGCTACAGCACCAATCCTTTGATTAGATTTTCTTTTTTTAAATATAAAATTAATGGCTAACATTAGACTGCTGAATGAGGTGGGCTTGATTTTCAAGGGCATTTTTGGTATTCATGGGCAGCATCAGCATCTGTCAAAAATTTGATCATACTCAGAAGCAGCTCTGTTACAATATCACCTCACTTAAGGTAGCACTTAAAGAGAAGCTAAATGAATGGAAGAAGCAGCACAAACACACTGCCTGTCCCAAAACATGCCTAAAAGGCAATTTTTCAAACTGAAGAGGCAGTCAGGCAGGGATTTACCCATTTTCAAGGAACTTTCAGTATACACAGTTGCTATTTGTGCCTTTGAAATGCCCCCCAAGGTCATTTAGTAACAGAAACTGATAGAGGGTGATTACGTTGCAGGGAAAGAAGTGGGCAGAAGCAAGATTACAAAGGCTTTTAAATAGACTACTTCTTACACACACACCTCTGAGCAAATTATATCTCAGTATAAATATTTATACATAGAACTTCAGTTCATTTTTGCTCATCTACTATGAGATAATATTTTAAATAGATTCTATTTTAATTTTCTCCCTCTCCATTCTCAACCACCTGCTTACTATCTCACTGTTTTGACATTTCCCCACACAGTATAACAACAGATGCTACATTATTTACTGAACCCAATCAATTATATTATAGAAAAATAAACAACAGTAGCTCATTACAGCTCCTTCCTTTGTGCAAAGAGTGCGTCGCTCCCCAAAGTAACCACTCAAAATAAAATGGCAATTTACAATGGATATTTTGTACCAGCAAACCAAGTCAGACAGCAATGACATGATGGATCACATTAAAAACTCTTGGACCTGAACAAGCAATTTCAGTTTGTTGATAAGAAGGTGTTCAGTATGTGAAGAGCTCAATAGTCAGATTTTAAAATACAAACTGAACATAAAGTCACTTCTGTAAGTAAACACTGTTGCAAAACAATTCAGTCCAAGTAATCAGTATACTTGAAAATGGGGAGTGTTAGTAAACATTATTGTTAAAATCCCTTTTGTTCTACTAAGCAAACAGATCCCATTATTTTCATTACTGCACTCTGCAATAAAACAGGGAAGCCCAGGTATATTTTGGTAACATGGGCCAGAGCTGCAGCCTTTGCATAAGAAAACCATTTCCAAACAGCCAAGGTATCAGAAAAGGCTCAGGAGCAGATGCAACGAAGCAGAAATAATTATTGTTTCTATGCATGCAAAATAACTCAGAAAAGAAAAACATATTTCTTGCTTGAGCCTGAGTGTGAGCTGATTGTGAGCCTGCTCCTGCTGCAGTGGATTCATGTTCAGCTGCTGTTAACCTCACAGAATTGCCATCTCACAACCAGTCTAGACCCTGCAAGAGGCTGCAGGAGCCATCTATGAGAGGCACTGGGACCTCAGAGTGCATTTACCAAATTGAGAGAACCTACAAAATAGTTTGAGGAACAGCACCTTTCACAGCACAGGCTTTCTGTTTTCTTACAGAGGCCTAGAGACATAAAGTACTTGTTAAAACACAATTTTCATTCTAAGAAAGATTCTGTAGAAGACTGTTCAGAAATTTTTTAAAGTACCACAAATTTCAAGATTCTGGATTTTATTTTCTTAATCTTTTTTTTAAAAAGTGGATTGTCTCCCAAATTAAATTTGGTAACTTGTTTGATCAGAATTGCAGGTAGGCTTTGTGCTACTTCTGGAAAAAAAGAAAGGGTTTCATGTTTTTAAAAGGAGTGGCTGCAGAAAACAGGTTAGAGCCTCCCAAAGATTCCAGCATTTATGGAGGTCATTTCACAGATCTCCTGTGAGCAGGTCCATCAAATAACTGGCTGTATCTGAGACTCAGATGATAAAACAGAAAAGCCATTAAACAGTGGATTAAAATTATTTAGCTGCACTTAGTTTCACATATACACAGTAAGAAATCAATAACAGTGAAGAAAATTGATCACATAAAAACTATACTTTGAATTGAAATTGCAGTGTGTGCTGAATGACAGTTTCAGTGCTCATAAGCTTCATGAATTCATAAAGTTATCAGAAAAGGTAAAACATCCCACCTCACGTTCCTCCTCCTGTTCTTTCCGGATCTGTTCCAAGCGAAACTGCTCTGCCATTTCTCTCTCTTGTGCTTCCCTCTAACAAACACAAAGGGCAATCCCACGTAAATATGTGATAAATACAAATGCAAAGAAATTTTTAAACATTTCCATAGAAATTAATGTAAGAGATAGCATATTTATTAAGCAATATTTTCCTGCCTTACCTTTCCCAAATGAAGCCAGGACAGGTTTAGCTAAAACATGCAGTCAAGTCTAGTCCTAATGACTTTATCTGGTGCCACTCTACAACATGGAGGACTTAAGGGTCTCATGTTCAGAGCACAACTGAGGCCAGGCAGGCCCCTGCAGCACAGAGCATTCCCAAACTCCAAAGGGCTCCCATCCCATGGGTCCCTGCCCCTGCACACACCTTGGCTCTGTCAGCCTCCAGCGAGATGCGGTACGCTTCGTCCTGCTCTCTCTTCACGTTTTCTCTGGCTTCACGTTCATCCTAAAGGTAAAAAAAAAATTAAAAAAAAATTGAATAGTGGACCAGTATGAAAAATATCTTTATGTTCCTCAGCACTCTTTAATCCTAGTGACTTGAATGTCATTCAACCACCAATAGGAGAAACACATTCAAAGATGCCTCAAGGGTGACTGTGGCTTTAGAAATTCGGACCACCTAAAGTTTTCATTGAGTTACCAGGTAAGGGAATGGGGTGTCCAAGCCCTGGTCTGAGGGCTGGATGAGGCACCCAGGCTCTGCACTGAGGGCCATGGCAGGCACAGAGACCTGGGGACGAGCAGCCTCCAGTGGAGGGGTCACTGCAGGGGGGTATGGGCTGGAGTTGGGGGTGATTTCCCTCCTGCACCCAACAGCTTGGATGGTTTTGTAACAGGGAAGTGTGGTTTAGATGCTGAGGCTGGATTTTCATTGGCTCTCTACTCAGACTGACAGTGGGTAATGGCTGGTCCTGACAGAGAAAGCCCAATCCCAGGTCCTTCCTGGGTCAAAAACCCCTCAGCAGGGTCCATCCAGGGTCATGACTATCAAACATCATCCAGAAGCCTCAATTCACAGTGCTGAATATTATACAAAGATGGGAAAGTAGCAGGTCCTGCTGTGAAGTGTCTCAAATGGACAGATGCAGGCAAGCAAGGAACAGGAGGTTACCATGCCAGCAAAAAGTATCTTATCAACAATCACAGCACAAAAAAATAAAGATTTAGTAAAAACACACAAATGACAAAGCAAGGCATCATCCACACAGTGGAGGATCAAACAGTGGATATCCCCAAAAGCTGGAATAACTGCACTGGGGTGATGTCAAATAAAGCAAAGTGTACAATCAATAGCTCCATACTCTGCCTCTGAAGCAGAGACAGTGGCTGCTCCCCTGTGCTTACCTGTATTACATCTCATAATCCCCCCCAGAGCCCTGCAGAGGCTGCACTGGTCCCTACAAAAATCAATAGGATTTAGCTGTGAGACTGCTGGTGGGCTCAGCAGGGTCTCCACTGCAGTTCCCAGTAACACAGCACCTGCACTGGGGAAATCTGTCCCATGTTCCACAGAAATTAAAATACAATACCTAGTGCTTCTTGAAGAATTATATATTCTTCCTATTCAGCTGCAACATTTATTCCACAAAAAAGAATCATTTTCCTACGTGATCAATTTTCTCCTCAAAACATCATTATTTGGCAAAAACTCAATTTTGAATGGTAGAAGCTCATGCTAACTGTAATTACAACAACATACAAACTTGCCAAGATGTTCCTCATCTCAGGAAAGAGACAACATGAATTCCAGGCATTAAAAAAAAAGTTAAAATGCTGTCTTCCCTATTCATTGCAGTTATCATCATCATCCTAGAAGTGGATTATGAAAGAGATGTCAGGAATGTGAAGAATTACCACGCATGACTGCCTGGTCCTCATAGAAATATGTGAGCCACATCTAAAAGTAAATGACTGCCACTGAGCCTTACACCTCATTGAAATAATGCTGTTCTTACTGAAACAGACCTTAAAAACAAACCTGGAATCCAGAGCTCTTTGGGTAAGCAGCAGATGTAATCCCGTGCAATGCCTCTTTGTACCTGCTTCTGTGCTAATACTTCTGTTTGCTAATACTGCTCACACTCAACAGGAACCAACTCCTCCACAGATTTTACGGCTAAATTGTGGTATTGTTTGGTTCAGAGTTACACCTTGGACAAATTTTAAACATTACAAGAAGCATTTCTCACTTTTGTAATGCAGTTTCTTATCTTAGTCATCTCTCCCTCTAGAGAAGGATGAGGATGCTTCAAGTTCACCAGAAAGCAACAAAAGAAACTCACAGTAGTGACAGGAAAAGCAGAAGAAAATATTTTGCAGAGGATCTTCCACTGCACTAACAAAGAACATGTCAAGAATAATCATGCCACTAATAATTAATATTAAAAAAATCAGAAGTGTTATCCATGAATAAAATTTGAGGCAGCTGACAACTTTCCTGTTAGACCCTACATAAATTGCAGTCAGTATTGACTGAACATCACTAAATGCATCTCCACAGTGCTTTTGCAATGAAGGAACAACTGGCACCTTCCTTATTCAAGAAATCAAAGTATAAACAGACATGGCTTATCCTGGGTAACTTTAAAAAGCTTTCATTAGAAACAGGGGAATTCCACAGCAGTGGCTGAAAGTTGGTGTGAATGCAAACCATCCACATCCCAAGGGTTTGGGTCTTGAGACAAGGGGACAACACTCCTTTGCACCTAAAAAGGGGAGAAGTCACAGATTCCTGCTTTCCTGTTTTGACAATGAGAAAATGGGAGGACATACATTCAGTGGAAGATTGGAAATCTGAAAAAAAATGCTTTTATTCACAAAACATATTCTGCAGCTATGACTTTATTCTGCTTCTTAGAGATGCAGTCAACCCAAAAATATTAAACACTTATGAGATAGCTACAATTGACCAGAGAAAACCTTCTCCTGAGGAATATCCAGTGCATCAAGACTAAGAAAAACTGACATATAAAATTAAGAAGAAATTTAGGATAACTCTGTCATATAATTATTTCCTAAACCATTTGTTGAAGTTAATCCTGAAATACCTAGTGACAGACATTTTCAGATGCAGGATGATGGACAAAGAGAGGTTCTTGACTGAATTTAGGACATCAGATTCTGCAAGTTAAAAATATTCCACTTTTTGAATGGGATATTTTGCTGGAAAAGTCCACATTGGCCCTTCTGGGCTTTTTTCCCCATTTATTATTGTCATTTCTAAAGGCAGGATTTAATGATTTAACCTCAGGAATCAGCTTTGCACCTGATTTGTCTCAGGGGGCTGTCATCCTTTGAGACCAGTTTTACTGTGAAGTAAAACTGGACGAGACAGAATTTGAGAAGATAACCAGGAGCAGAAGACATTTCTCAGAGCACCAGCGAGTAAAGGGCTATTACAAGAAAGAAAGAAAGAAAAAAGTGTATTTACAAATGCTGAATGCCTATCTGAAAGACAGTTCATTTCACTGAACCACTCCTGAAATTAAAATCTGCAAATGCTTAAGGCTATTCGTGAGAGCATTAAAGAGAAACACCCCTTTGTCCAAATAAACCAGTGCAAGAAAGGCATTAATTTGACTCACTAAGATGACAGACTTGCACATTGTATTACTTAAACATACATGATGGGGAATACATGGCAGGAAAAAGTGTACACAGAGTGTGTTGGGTGTATGGGAACCACAAGGACAAAGCAAATGGACGTTTTAGCAGTGGCAGAACCACAGGAGGAGGCAGGATGGGGTAGGATGAGGGGCAGAACAGCACAAAACCACCACAGGATCCTGCCTGTCCACAATGAAGGCTGAAAGCTCAGTTCCAGATTCCAGTTTTGGAATTAACTCAAGTGACAAGAAGAAAACTGAACTCAAGACATTGAAGGAGTCCTGCAGTGCCTTTCTGTGGGAAAAGAGCCAGCCAGTCCTGATACATCTGCCCAGCTGGGCTGAATATTCACCGAGTGGAATCATCAACATGTACAGCCTAAAAGCCACAGGGACTAAAGATATTTTATCTCCTTCCTTCCTTCTTTCCTTCCTTCCTTGCACTTTGCCAAGCCTCTAGCCATGCAGTAATCTCCTGCAGGCAGCATTTGTACCCACCAGGGTGTGTGTGCCCAAGTGCTCAATGGGAAGCCCCTCGTTCGGGCTGCTATCATATGACAAACACAAAATCAGAAAATTTAATCAAACAAATTTTGATTACTGTAGTTTAATTAGTTATAACTAGTAATAATTAGTAAATGTGCTAATGAGATTTTTGAGGGGTTAAATCCCAATCTTTGCTAGACGGCTGTTATCACCATAATGCTTTTGCACTTTGGAATTTAATGAATTTCGTGTATTCTCATAATCTCTTGTTGTGCAAATACAATACACCATGATACACATGACAGTGTTAGATGGAACATAGATTATCCAAGGTATTCAGATGCCTCATTTCTACTGATTTACATCAGAGCTTCAGTCCCCAGCAGAAATTTCAGAGATCTCTTGCAGAGCTGATGGAAGCACTTTCCCTACATTTGACAGCAGTGAGACAGAAAAGGAGGGAAAGACATGGTGATAGTAGGCTTCTCACAGCACAGCTATGAAAATATCCCTCGGCCACTAAAGGCTCAAAGGGCTGTGGCAAGGAAAAGAGAAAAAAAGAATTTATGCTGCTGCTTTGGAGTTTTGGCTTTCCTTCACTTGTTTTTTAAATCCTCATTCAGATATTAGTGAGGAAGGACCTATGTTTTCCTCAAACTCTAGAAGTATCTAGGAAAAATATGTCAGCCAAGAACAGAGAGGAAGGATGGTGACTGCAGGCCTACAGCTTTCTACAGCTTATCTTCAGTCAGAGTCTGTTTACAGCAGGTTTTACAGTTTAAAAATTCTTAAGCATCTGTCTTTTACACTACAGAGCAGTGTGCTGGCAGACATAGTTTAAAGTGAATTAAAGGTTTCAATTGGTATTTGTAAAAATAAGAAGGTCTCTGAAGCAACTGTGGGTATTTCCACCTTGATGTCTAATCCAAGAGCAGGAGTGCCAGTGTTGCATAAGGACAAAAATAAACACGACCAGACACCTACTGTTACTTAAATGTGGACAAGTTGGGCCAGCTGTGTAACAGTCATTTCTTTTACAGTAATAAATGTTGACAGCAAAAATAAAAAATGCATTACTGAGGCATCATCAAATGAGCCCTGTCATTACATGGAAACTCCGCCCTGTATAAGCTTGTCAAAAAGTGTTACTGTAATCCTTTGAGAAGCCTCCTCCTCAGGCAATGAAGAAAAAATGTTGAGGATCAGCCCAGAACAGGTGTGTTGTGCTGTAATGCCAGGATTTAATCACAGATCTCTTCACATTAATCTCACAAAGGAACTACCTCGGATCTATTCGGGCCCATCACGCCACACTGAGATGATTATTTAACTGTCCAATTAAAGCAAGCAAGCTCACAGGGTGTTTAAAAATGGACATTCCAGGGCGTAGAATATTTTACAACTATTGTTTTCCTAAGCCCAGCAACAGGTATTGACACTTAAGAGGAACTGATACCCAAGAGGAACTGATACTACACGCTCTATTCAAAGTCAGTGCCTGAAAAATCTCAGTGCACACCTTGATTAACAGTGGCAGAGGCTGGTTATCCTTCCTCTGAGAGACCCTCTCTTGCTTACAGGACAAACTCCTTAATGGCATTTATTCCCTCTGCAAAAACCCCACTGCCTGAGCAGTAGCTGGTGTGTCAACTCCTGCAGTGGTGACCAGGGGAGCAAACATGGCTAGAAAAAGAAAACGTGTCCATCAGATGCAGGAAATCATTAGTGCAGCTGCAGAATAACTCTGCGTACACAGCTTGAGGCTGGACTTCAGACCTGACTGCACTGGGAAAGGTGGGACTGTACCCTGGCCAAGAGGCTTCACTGGTGATGGTCATTGAGCCCACAACTGATTTATCCATTGGCCACTTCTAATCAGAAGAGCCCTGTGAGCACATCAGTGTGCTGCTAATCCAATTTTGCTCTTTGTGGCTTATTCTTACAGCAATTTTAGGAGCGAAATTATGAAAACAGACACCTAGACTGTGTATTTACAAGAGCACATCAACAGCATGGTCCAAAAGAGGCAGAAAGTTTCCAAAATGTCATCCTGCCAACACAGCAACAGCTCATGATTGACTCAGAACCCTGGAGAGGCAGGGAAAAGAATGGGACAGCAGGCTGTTCTCCCTTGAAGGAAAACTTGGGAGAGGAAACAAGTGCAGAAGTTACACACCAGGACAGGCACGTTGGGTTACTGTGAGTACACATGTGCATCCCAAAGCTTTTGAGGTATTTCTTTGGAGATTATGTAAGAGTACAACTCACAAATCTAAAAATTATATCCAATTGCTAGTTAAGTAATGGTATTTTAGCACTTGACACTGAAAAAATATGCAAGAGATTTGCCCCATTAAAATCTAAATTTGCCCTATGAGGCAAAATTGGTAAATGTTACCAATACGTGGATACAAAAGCACAGGATTTAGCTAAGCATAATATAAGCATCTTATTGCCAGCAGCTAATGAGGTGGCTCACTCAGGTGAGGTAAGGTGGTAAAGCTGTTCTGAGCATCCCACCTACACCCCCAGCGATGCTCAGTGACAGGGAGCTGCCTGTAGCTACAGCCAACATCAGCTGAACACCTGGAGCAGCTGCTGGAGTGGTACCAGTCCTCCTGTACCCAAATAACCATCAGAGGGCACTGCAAAACACTCTGTGCCAAACAGGATTATACAATGGCTGTGCTGGAAGCTTTCATGTGCATGAGAATTTCAGCTGCATAAACTCACTCATTACTGACTTCATGCTGTCATTTGCAAATGTTTCCAGTTCTGGTTCTCTCTCACACACACTTCTGTTTACAGCAATGCTACACTGATGACTCCTCTTTTTAAAGCACAAAAGAATTTTCTGCTTATCTTCTTGTGGTTTTACGATGACTTATTGTTGCTATTAAGAAAACAGTAACAGAAACCGGACTCTGTATCCTGTTTGCTATTGTAATATTTGGGAAAAAACTGCACCAACTGCAGCAAGATCTTAAGAAAGAAAAGGTGTTGATGTTTGAACACTTGAAGTTGTCAAGTACAAGGCTTACAAGAGAGCTACATGTTGTGTAGCTAACCACAAAAAGGCAATATTTTGTTTTCAGGCTGAAGCCCTCTGTTGAGTACAGACTGCTTGTCAAACACTCCCTCTCTGGAATAATAATTTCATAAAGCAAGGTTATTTTTTGTTTTGAAAACTTCCTGCTTCAAAGGCAAAGTGTCTGAGATCACCTTTTCAGTGTGCTTGTAACGAGTGGAGCCAAGGTGTGAGTAAATATCCTATTTGTGTATAGAACCCATAGTGTCTGGAAAGCTGCCCCCAAAGTTTATGAAATTTTCCTTCACTATTCTGAATGTCAAAGTGTGTTAGAAAAAGCTTCTGTTGGGGAAGAAATGTCACTGGTGCTTCCAGCGACAGAAAAATGAAGGACTACAGAAGACTTGGACAAAGGTAGATATTGGAGAAATGTATAAAAATCAATTTTCCATTTCCCTAGATAGGGAGAGCACTTGGGGAAAGAAGCCAGGAGACAACAGTCCCATGTGGGGACTGGATTGTCACTGTCACTGCTCTTGGACACCCAGGGAAGGACAAAGAGCAGCCCAGGACAGGAGCCAGTTCCTGGTTCTGGTCTGGTGTTCTGTTCCTCACTTCTGTTCCAATCCTATCACTTCTAGTTTCTTCTCCTATCCCTTGTTTGCTCTTATTTCTCTGACTTTATATGCTTCTGTTTCCCTCAGTTTTTTCCTTTTTATCAGCTTTTATAGTTTTTAATTATGAACCTCTCTTGGAGCTCATCTGTGATGTAAATTTCACTCTTACTAAAGCATTAAAAAACCTCCCATACTCAAGACACTCCTGTTAAAATGCAATAAAAAATTGCATTTTATATTGTGCCTTGGATTTTTGTTGTAATCTTCACATTTAAATTTGTGTTCAGTATTAACAAAATTAAAGTCAATTTCTTTACCAGTGAATTACAGGTAGCATAAATAAAGAAGAAAAAGTGAATGACAGATATTGTGCAGATAATTGTGCCTTCATATTGCAGTCAATAAATCTTGTACTAATGAGATACAAGATTTAAATGTGAAGAATGTGTTTCATGAATTATTGTCAATCAATGTCTACACAACAGGATAAGGATAATCTTGAATGGCAACACACCTATTATTACAAATTCCTATGAACTTCATTACTTTAAAATGTCACTCTTAATTTACAGAGTAACAGATAAAGATCTTTCAGCTGTGTAACTCACTTCGTCTGCTTCTGTGTAATTGAAACACTGGTTTTGAGAAGTCTTGTCATCATTTATGCATTCTGCATCATTCTGAGTGGTGGTTCAGTACTGGTGTACTGATTAAAGTTGGTTTCAGCCCCCTTTTAAACCGACACATTTAAGATATATTAATCTATTTTTGTTTTCTACCTATGACTTGGAGCTGGTCAGTGGCAAAAAATCTGATAATTTTCCTTGAATGAGCATATTAAGCTCTATAATATCACTATGATGTAACCAGTCACTGGTGACTATGTCCAGAAAAAGGAAAGAAGCTGAAAATGACAAGACCAAAAAGGAGGAGCTGTTCTGAGAGACCCAAATACACAAAGGAGACTTGACCTTTTTAATTTCTGACAGTGGAAGAGGCACTAAAACACATCATACCCAACTCCACTGGCTAAAGAAACATCTGGTTAATTTACATCCCCAGTGATTAGTGGAAGCCAGGAGGTATCTGCAGCAACTTCCAGTGCTCACCTCATCCTTTATGTCTTCCTGCTGCTGGGCACTGAAGATCTCCATTGCAGCCATCAGCCTCATCATTAGCTCATCCACTGTTGTGTTACCTAGCAACAAAGGAAGATAGCTGAACTTCATTTCATCAAAGTTATTAAACAAAAAAGAAGTCATTTTAGAATTAATCCATAAGAAATAAAAAAAAAGACAAGAGTAGAAAATGCAAATATCTCAGTAGAATGCTTTCAGTTCACCTTTTTAGTGAAAACTCAAAATTATTTTTACAAAGGTTGATCACAGGTTACAATTTCAGATGGTGCAAATCTGAACAATTGCTTTTATGCTTGCATAAATTAACTCTATTTTGTCTTTTAGTCACTGATGTTAAAGGAAAGCAGTAGATCTGGGATTCCCTTATGTGCAATTGATTTTACAGTTTTAGAATTCCCAGGGAGACCAAAGCTACTACTTATCAGGCAACACAAGGTAGGATGCTGGCAGCAGCATCCAAGTGGATTGGTTTAAAACAATGGAAAAACCCACAATTCAATGATTGAATGGATGTGGCAAAATATATCCACATTTTACTTGGATAAACTAGTAATAAAATTTCAAATACTATATTTTCTTCAGTCTATTTACTTCTCAAAAAACTTGCAAAGCTACTGAAGTGGAAAACGGTGTCATCCATGTGTGTATCATGAAATAGAACACATATATAGGAAAAAGATACCTCCCCATGTTTTCCTTCCAGCATGCCTCCAGTCTTCATTAATACTGAAAGATTACTTTAGTTTCCTACCAAGATGCATTCTTTGGTTTCTCTTTCTAAACTGAAGACTACCTATTAAAGCCACTTGTCATTGTAGTTAGGAGGTCTTAAACCATGAGTAATGGTCAAAAACTATGAAGCCTTAACATCTGCCAGCCTAAACAGCTGTTGGACCCCAGCAGAACAAGTATCAATAAAGAAAACAAGACTGTCCCTATAGTTTCCAACCCCAGGAAAAAAAGTAAAAATCAAAAGCAAACCAAGACAGTCTGCATTTCAATAAACACCAATGGGGTCTTAGGTTTCTATATAGTTGTATCTCTTCTGTCAACATGCCTTCTCACCCTGCCCTGAAAGGCCCTCATTGTTCCCATTTCTAACATTTGCTACCTTAGCAGAAAATGTTATCCCACATGCTACAACATGCAGGACTTCAGAGGCTACCATTCATCGAGGCAGTATTGTTAAAAGATACCACTGTCCCCATTCCTGGGAAACTAACGAGCAGAAATGGTGTGATTTTTGTTAAAGGATGAATTTAAGTAAGTCTACAATAGGTGATTGTTTTAGTTTAGTGCAAAATATTGCAGAAAACCTGACAAATAATTAAAACTTAACTCATGCCATTAAATAATCTGGATTATTTTTTAATATAAAGCTGCATTGTATTATGACTTTGAATTGTTGCTAAAGCAGTTAAGTAATTTAAATCAGTAGCACCACTGACTTCAGTGGGATGGCAAAGGTTCTGAAATGTACTGCAGAGTCAGAAAACCAAGCTATTTATAAGACTATTAAGAAATAACCTATGAAACCTTTGAAATATGTTTTATAAATTACAGGCTTTCATACCAGGAATTAGTGTTGTGCTGTACCTTGCACTGAGGAGACAAAACCCATGCAAAAAGTAACCATTTTGTCCACAGGAAGGAACACGGCAGATTCCTCAAGAAAATTATTAATCCCAGATGCAAAAAGAAACACTAATGCTTGTCTGCAAAAGGCAGCATTTCCTGAGGCTGAATTTCCTCAGGAAAACGAGATTACAATAAAGATTGCCAGACATAAGCAATAAAAAAATGAGGACACAGTGTCATGAAGGCAAACTCAGAAGAAATGAGAGGCAGCCATTCTTTGATGTGCTCTAATTTGAAGAGTTACTGAGAACAGCAGTCAGAGGGTAACACTCCATATCTAAGTCACCTTGCTGTCAGTGAAATCAGAGGAATGGTGACACCAGAAAGAGCTGCTCATGTAAGCCAGAAAACTTCATTTATGTGAGACAATATTAGGAATTTCAATCCTGACCTGATGTGGGGGTCTTGATGCTGCAAGCAGGTCTGAAAAAGCAACTCATGTCCAAATATTAGCAACAGGACCCAGGTACTACTAAGGAACTACACACAAAGAACCAAATGCATTCTGGCACTGTGCAAAAAGTGCAGCCATGATCTTCTGGAAATCAGGAATGCATCTGGATATTATTTTGGAAAACTAAGTGTAGCTCCTTATTTAGGAAATTAAGCTTCCATTTAAAAAAAATAATATAAAAATGTAAACTATAATTCTACTCCAGTCATGACAACTGCAATCTCTAACACCATGCTAATGAATACATTTATGAGTAGTAGATAATTATACCCTGGCAACTTAAAGTGTGTTTTGTGTAATAAATTAATATTCTGAACATCTTAAAAGAGAAACAGTTAGCAAAGACCTATTACAACAGTTTCAATACTCACATAAGGAATACCTGTAATATAAAGAACTGTACCTTGTATTACATTCAACACTTCATTAGATGAACGTTTTCCCATAATAATAAGGAAAAGTGGAAACTGGTCTGTCTTCTGAGTTCGAATGGTTTGGGCTACAACACTCCCAAAATGTCTAGTGCACATCGTCAGAAACCTTGTGGGAGAAGAAATAAATAGTTAACATTGTAGAGGATTTTCTGAAGTTAGGTTTAAAACAGTAATTATGTTAAATTCAGCAGTTTAACTGCATGTTAGCTACTGTTTAACACATTCTGCATTTAGTACTAGAGCTCTTTATCTCTGTTTATGACTAAATTATTATAATATTTACAAACATGATAGGGTCCAGGTTGTCTAAATTAAAACAATTAACAATTGCTTGAGACAGTGATTTGTTTCATGGAGAATTCCATTTCCTGTTACACTACGTGAAGACTATAATTCAAAACTACCCCCAAAAACAATAATGCTGAATCAATTGTTTAAAACTTTTAAAGAGAAACTAAGTAGAGCAACAATCTAACAAACATGGTGAAGTATAAAAAATAGTAAATTTCATACGAAAGCATAATTTAATAATGAAAGATCAAGAGATTGGTTTTATCAGTCACAGAATTAAAACACGGTACTTCAGAATTGTATTTTCTTTTGTACTAATGCCCTGCCAGTGACATACTTAGCAGTGTGGTCTAAAAAACAATAATTCTAAGCTTTTGACCAAAAAAAGCTCTTAGATATTAGCATACAGAAGTCTAACATTAGTATTCTTAACACGATCTTGAATAAATGAAAAAACTGATAAAGCTTTTCTCTTCCATTAAAGGACTGTTTGAAATTAGCATTTCTTTCAAGAGAAAAGGGTAGCTTATGATATGTTTTCAGATCTGATGGTAAAAAGTAAATGTCATAATAATAATGAATTATGAAAGACCAAATGCAAATATAGAATGCTTTAATAAGATCCAATTTAATAAAGTCTGTAAAAATAATGGACTTTTAATAACACGGGTCACAAAAGGCAAAACAGTGGAAATTCTGAGGACTAGCCACTGGTACAGGCTTATTAATTCTTAATTATGTTCATGAAAGGCAACTTAAATCGTGTGTTTTCTTATGCCTTATGATAATATTTTAGGTAACAACTACTCTGAAATGTATGCTCTAACTGAAGAGCAAAGTCCCATTGTCACATGCATTAGAAGCCAAATCTATTTGAAAAGACAAACTGCATTAAAATGTCAAGTGCTCCAAGTAATTTCTTTTCAAAGATACTGAAAAGATTCAAAATTGTGATTTAAAAAATCAATATATATATATTGTATCCAATAAAATGGCTAAAAATGGATAAGTCTGACAAGAACAGCATTGGGCTTGTTTGAGGCACCTGAAGTACTAAAAAAAATCTCTTCTCAGAGAGAATTTGGATGGAAGGCAATGGGTGGAGGTGGCAAGCAAGTATTTCAAAGCCATAAGTGTTACTCCCTGATTCTCTGTATTTTTCAACTCAAAACAATCAGACACAAAGAGGACATCAAAAAGCTGAACAAGCTCTGCTATATCAGAAAGAGCGACACAGACATGTAACATCTGGGAAGGATAAAACAGCATCTGTAAAGTCTGGACATATCAACTCTTCAGATAAATAATGGCTTTTGATGTTTTCCTTTCAAGGTGGGAACAGGAAAGTGAAATGTTGGCCTCACAGAAGTCAGTGGTGATCCTCCACAGCAAAATGAAAATTACTTCTGTGAGTTCAAGGTTTCAGCCCTGGAAGCAATAAAGACAGTGGACAACTGTCTTTATTGTTTCCATGGACAATTCCTAGACTTGTGCATCAAAACTGTTTAACAGTCTTCAACACAGCACAGAAGAAAAGCTCTCAAGTTTCATGGAAAACCAAAATTCTTAACTGGAAGTGAAGAAGTGCTGTAGAGAACAATGTTAGCAGGAACAAAACTAAAGAGACTCCTACAGTCCTATTTGTATTACTCAAAGGTGCTGGTTTCCTAGTATTGTTTTTAAGTCTATTTTATATTTAGTCAACCAATTCCTCAGTGCCAAAATATGTTTTTATAGGTATAGGTTTTGCATGCAGAGAATTCTGAATGAAGAATGACTTTTTTCCCTTTTCTGCCTTTACTGATTTTCTATTTGTAGACCTTTTTACTTTCAGATTCATAACCAGAAAAACAGGGAAAAAAGTCCCCTCTGTGCTAATATTTACCGTTAGAAGAGAGCAGGACCAAAACAACTTGGTGCAATATCCAGTATCTTATTCTGTACATCACTTACAAGGGATTTTCTTACTTTCATCTGAACAGAAGTGTGCCAGATCTCTCAGTGGCATCTCCAGAGCTGCCAAAAAAAGTGCCTGTGGAGTCCATCAAAGAGACAGATGGCCCTCCAGGGAAAAGGGTTTTCCACAGCATTGGATTACTGTGATCTCCAACCAACAGTGGAAATAGAGGAATGCTGCCAGAAAGGGAGGGCAAACAGCAGCCTACTAGTCCTTTTATTTTGAAATTACAAAAATATTCAAGGAGAGAGAAGGAGAAAGACAAAAAAGCATTTTATGAAATAAAAATCCATTTAAAAATCTCAAAAGTTACAAGAAAAAAGTTAATCAAGAAAAGTACCAGTTCTGGCAAGCAGCACCATTTCTTTCATGACTCAGTAGCAATGACACCAGCAGTTACAGCCACAGAATAAACATGTACACTGACCATGGCTTGACAAATACAGAAACAAGCTAAAAAAATTTAGAAATTATTGAAGTTTTTAAAATGTAGATTGAACAGGTATTAATGCTTAGACACGGTTAAAAGTGGCACTAAGGAAAAATTATTCTGGTGCCATGAAGATGTTAACTGGGGGAGTTGCTGGTGCCTGTGCAGTAATTATCCCCCATATACTTTGAGACAACCTCTGTTGAGCAATTATCATCTTTGTAGCCCATGAGTTTTCAAAAGAAGAATGTTATCATTTCCTACCAGCTAATATGTGAGGCCTTATATTAATATACACTCCTGGCACAGCTTTTTGGTAATTGTATTAATATTAAAATATTTTTAATGAATATAGTAACTTATTTAATATTAATTTAAAATAAGATCCTAGAACACAAATATGACAAAATAATAGCTTTAAGAATCTACATTAAAAAATTTTGATATTATTGAGTCTCAAACCCAAAGGAAATACTTATTAAAAGTTAAGTGTCAAGCCTGTGGTCTATCTCCCAATTCCAAATATGCTATGTAGCCCTCTGTAGATGCTGGGGTTTAGCAATAATTTGTTTCTGTGAAAATGTGCAACTTTTAATTTTTAATAACAAAATTGGGCACTTCTGGCCTAAGTCAGCTGGTCATCAAAAGTGTTGATCTCAGACCTCAATATTATCTGATATCTGGAAAAAAGCTACGATGGCAAATACTTTGGAAAAATGTACATATTCCTTTAGTATTTCAATTTAAACAATTTGGTAAGTTAGGAACATGTTTGCTGCCTGGTTCCTGAGCTCAATATTATTTGATATCTGGAAAAAAAGCTATGATGGTAAATACTTTGGAAAAATGTAAATGTTCCTTTACCATTTCAGTTTAAACAATTTGGTAAGTTAGGAACATGTTTGGTGCCTTGTTCCTGAAAGGGACAAGGCAGAGGCACTGCTTGGCTTTGACCTGTCATGTTGTATTTTCCAATCAAAGCCACTCCTACTCTTGCGTAGTACAGAAAAAAAAATCTACAAAGAAATGAAGAACTGTAGAGGAGCTAAAGGAAGAACTTGGCAAGGAATTGAGGATTCTGAGCAATGAAAGCTCTCTGCATGTCCTTTCAAAACCACAGCACAAAGCAGCACTTCTGCTTGCTGCCCTCGGCCTTGATGCAGCAGGACTCCAGAGGAGCAGAGGAATTCAGTATCCTTTCTTTCCATGCACAAAAGTGCCATCAGCATGGCCTTGAAGACATGGACACCACCCAAAAACTGACTGCTCCAGGCCTTTCTCCTCCTGATCCCCAATTTCCTGCAGGAATCAAACTGATGTACAACCGGAAAGTGCCATCAGGATGGCCTTGAAGATATGGACACCACCCAGCAGCCACCACTGAACCCAAAAACTGACTGCTCCAGGCCTTTCTCCTCCTGATCCCCAATTTCCTGCAGGAATCAAACTGATGTACAACCTGATAGGATGAATAGCTCTGCATATCCCCCCAAATTAATCTACCTTCTCAAGGCATCATGAATAAATCTCAAGCAGTCAAGGCAGTGGCAGAAAGAGCAACCAAAGCTAAAATGTTAACTCCAGCTGGGTTATGGTAGCCAAGCAGCCCTGCAGAAGGAAAGCAAGTCAGAGCAGGTTGCATCCTGCACACTGTAGTGTGCTCCTGGAATGTGCAGAGGGACACTTCGTGCTACATTTTGAACGTTTTTGTATGTTCAAAAAACCAAAAAATTGCAAGTTCTCATTGGCTTTTGCTTTTCTTACCCTCTCCCCAGCACCTTAATGTTATTTAACAATTGTATTAGCAGATGTCTAGTGCACTTAAGGTCAAATTACCTTCCATAAAGAGAGAACTCAGCTCTCAAATGTGTGGAAAAATGCATTAAAATAAATACTAAAAAAATCATAGTATTTTAGATCTTCATAGTATTCAGAGTATTTTAGATTTGCTTTACTTTCTGTATCAATAGAAATAACAAAGGTCTGGTTATTTGTTACAGTCTCATTCATATAAATTCCTGAAGTTACTTTTTATTTTTATGCACTGAAGGGAAAACTTTGGAAAAGTTTCCTCCTACAATGAAGCCCTTTGGCACATGGTGCCCACTATACTTCTTGGAAAGGACTTTTTAATAGAACAGAAGTGCTGCACTGGAGATGTTTTTTGGCTGTATGTTCTCAGTCTAAAGTCCTCCTCAAAAGCAGCAGCAGCAGCAGAAAATCTGACAATCTCTTCTAAAAGACCTATTCCCTTTCAGAACATTCAGAACACAAAGTGGATGACTTTGGGCCAAAAAAGTGTGATTTATTTATGACCAGATAATTCCCAAAGCCAACCTTAAACAGCCTTTAACATTTCAAAAATGGGTTTGGAAAAAAAGTAACTTCTTTGTTGAGCATGAGGAAAACAATTATGAATATTAAATAT